TTTTTTTTTTTTTTTTAATTTACAGGGAAAAAGCCCTGTGTTAGTAGTAGTTTCCAGGGTTACACAAAGAAAATACATTTTTCTAGTTCTGGGAAGTTAGAAAAAGTGGGAAGTTTTTCCAAGAAAATATGTGTAACATCTATTTATAATCCTTTTGCCACCTCCCCTTCCTCTCTACTTTCCCTTGTCTGGGAAAATAGGATACTTAATACAGGAGCCTGTGGTGCTCATATTTTCTTCCCCTGTGAAAATGGAACCACAATTGTAAGTGGATTTGAGAGGGAGAAAGGTGGTGGAACTGTATGGTGGTCAGCAGAAGTAGGAGAATATGGTCCTCATTCTAGCGAAAACCTAGAATTAACCCAGATAATGGCCATGACCTAAGAGTTTCTGCCTGGGTTTGATATAGTTTGGTGTTGGGTCAGACTAAGATTTAAACCAGACTGGGACAAAGAGACTCTATCACCTGCAGAGTAAATTAGGAGCCTGTGTCCCACGTTCATCTGCTTGTCCACACAAACAGCCCCCCATTCTCCTCCTCCTCCCCCTCTATACAGACATGGACACAGGGTCTCATTTTCTTTCTCCTAGACAGACACCTTTTGAAACATAGAATTGAAATATATCAATAACTCAGCATTCAAATCAACAGAATCAAACTTGAAAACATTGTGTTCCCCCTACACAATACCCTGTGTACTACAATTCTTTATAAATTATGTTCTAAGTAAATTTTAGTTTTTAGTGCATAAGGAGAACTTTGTGAAAAATTTGTTTTTATTTTCATTGTCTTCAAAGCCGTTGATTTTACTTGGCTGATATGTTCCTCTGTACACAATCCATTTCAATAGGATGAAAATTACATCCCAAAAAATAATCAGCATCCAGAAGCTTCAACAAAAATTTGACATTAACAAATAAGTTGATAAACTAACAAACATTCCCTTCTAGGGCTTTGCTGAACCATCACATTCCAAATTCAATGGCTTGAGAATCACTGAAAAGGTTACTTATATTTCAGGGAAATGACATTTACTCCTAAAAGTAGCAAGCCATTCTCAGTTTCCTGGAAATTTAGCGATTTGGAAGAGAATAGGTCCTGACAGGAAGGGGAAGAAAGCAGAGAAGAAATGATAAAGCAGTACCTAACCTGTGAATTCCACCCACTGGCTAGAAACATTTAAGAGGAGCTCAGTTCAATTGAAAAATCAATCTGCTTCTTGCTGTATCTTCTGTATTGTCAGGGAGGTTGTTCTGGACTCAGAATGCAGCTAGATGTGAAACTTTGTTTTACTATCCTAGAGAATCTTAACTACAAAACAATAAATAGGAAGGATCTCTGTGCTATGTTTGGCTGGCACTTGCCAGAAAGCAGATAGGAGAGCTCAGTTTCCAACACCCAAACATCCAAACCCAAGGGCCAGGCAACTCTATGTTGGTTTGGACAAAAAGTCCAAATAATTGTTAGAGCCCTCTGATCATCTAGTCTTTTCATTCTATTAGACAAGCATGATTCTAACATTTGCTCAATGTAATGTTCTGTAGTTAACAATTTAGCAGCTGCCTGTTGTGTAAAACATACTTTTCACCAAATAGATTCTGTAGTGAACCAGAGCAGTCAATATTTAAAGAAAGGCTTTCTCCAGTATCCGTTAACCATCTTGGAACCGAAAGGTCAATTCTCTCACTGAGGAGAAATGTGTAACTTTGAATAGGAACTCATAGCAGAGAATGACAAGCAAAACACAAAAATAAATCTTTGGAGTATTATCCTCAACTCATAGTTTAATAATAATTATCTTTTTTTTTAGTAGAGAATATAGAATACAACCATATCCATGCTCAGTTTAATAACACTCTTGTAAGTCATTTATTCTCTCACTTGAGAGAGTTTTCCTCCCCATCCCACTTCATACTTTCCTTTCCCTTCTCCCTCTGTGAGAAGAAATACTTAAAACAGATCTAGGCACACTTAATGTAATAATGAATACATCGAAGCATTTAAGTTCCTATCTAGGAAAATGTGCAGGCTGAAGCATAGACAAAACAGAGAAGAAAGCTGAGAAATGTACCATTCGAGAAAATAAATCTGGATATGTTTGATTTGGAGAAACAAAAGTTGGTTTTTTAAATGTTGCAATACACAAATCATTTTCAGAACACACTGCCAAGAGAACTGAGTAGAAATGAAAGGTTTATCAAAGCAATTTTAAGCATTTATCCCATAAATGTTCAGTTCTTGAACAATTGTTTTCTTCTGATTTTTGTATACAAACTTCATATACTATGTATGTAACCCACACTTTTTAATAAAGCACCAAATATGTATCTGTAACCATAATCACATATATTAAATATATATATTTATATATCTATGTAATAGCCTCATATGAGTCCTTCTTAACTCTCAAGCATTCTTTTATGAAACATCTCTCCTTAAGAAAGGCTTGTTTCTTATATTTTTTTAATCTTTGTTAAGTTTATTGGTACATTTTGGGTATATAATAGTTACATTCATCATTGGGATCTTGTACATGACTTATCTTTGTTCTTATTTTTCTCCATTTCCCAGCCCTTCCTTCAGCCCCTCCACACTTCCCTGTTTACAACAAAGACATTGTTTCCATGTTTTTTCTTTTCTCATATTTTTTTCTTTTTTTGTGTGTCTTTATCGTGCTTTTGATATGAATTGGGTGGAACCCCTGATATAAAAAGCCCCTGATCAATTGAGGGAAACCTTACTAATAAAAGTCAACTATAATGTAATCTGACATGCAAAACTTAGAAAAGAAGATACAAAGTAGTTCATTTTCATATACTATGATGATTACTTTCCTTTGGGTAGAGGTGACAAAATGTATTAGTGTAGCTGCCATCATTGTTAGGAACAGACTGAACATATATGGACCCTGCAATCTTCAATGAGTGTAGTAATTCTTTTCTTTTCCTAATGGGATAAAATATCTGAAGTCCAGGAACAATTGCATTCAACACAATTTTGTGACCTTAAATTTGATCCTAGGCTAGTTTAGGTAAAGGTCATGCAACTAGTGGGATTGCAACTGAGCAACAAATGTCATGGATAAATGGGATGAGATTTATAGGCAGAAGCAATGAAAAGAGAGAGAGAGGGAGAGAGAGATTTAAGGCAATGTCACTTTTAGTCTCTAACAAGTTTCTTAGTTGTTTTTCCTAGTTCCCATGGGGCCCAGCTATAATTAACCTAAATGCAATGCCCCCAAATCATTTTCATACTACCTGCTTTATTTTAACCATCTTGGGTGAGTTTTCACCAAGAAATATTCATAGAACAAAGATCACTGACACTTCTCTATCTCCCCTGCAAACAAGTAACATTCTCAAGGTGATTGTGGAAAAAAGTGACGGGGTTCTATATGACTGACTAGAGAATCATAAAAGCTCAGAAAGGATCCATTCAAAAGGGTGCTATTCTGAAGGTAGAAGGGGCTCACACTGAAAGAGAAAACGAATAAGACAGTATATGTAGATCAAATCAAATAGGCAACTGAAAAAGGGAAGTGGCACTGCCGCAACAGGCTGGCCACTCCTAATCCCACTCCTCTAGGGGACAGCTATTTTGATAGTGGCACAATTCTGAGGGACCAATCTAGGGCCACAGGGACTAGATTCCTGGAACAGACTGCATTCACCACCACCACACCCAACACACACATAACCCTTCTTCCAAACACTGGGAAAAGCTGCATTCCTGTGTCCTCCACTCCAGCGCATACTTTGGCACAAGCCTGCCTTCCAGACTGCCTGTGGATTCGCTGGCATGTCTGCATGCAGCCCCCAGCTCTTATCTAAATAGTGCATTTTTCTGGAGTGACACCAAGTCACACAGACTGGCTGGCACTAGCTGTGGATCTGCAGGTCACCTGAATTGTGAACAGCATGTCCAAACAGCCTAGCAGGAGTGCTGCATGTCCACTGTCCTCCTAGGTCACTGGTGCCAGCCCAGACCACAAAGCGAGTCAGCCCCATTCCTGCCCTACATTCCTGTGTACCACCCCAGTCACCAGAACATACGTCCATCTGCAAAGAACAGGAGTGGCCACCTGCAACCAGACACAAGATAAAAGAATTGTGTGGCCTCATGGACTCTTAAGAAGGAACTGCAGCTATTGCTGTCCCTTGCAGAATCCTCAGGAGGGCTAGGGAACCACACCCACACCCTGGGGAGAGTGGCAGGGACTCTAGCAGGCAGGCAAACATACCCCAAGGCATCTGCAGCCTCCTGAGAGTAAAAAGACTCCTGAGTGGTTCCATGCCAACTGTTGCCATCCCCTGCAGGTTCCCCAGGCACAGTGTGAACACAATTGCAGACCCCTGAGGATGCTTGCTGGAGAGTGTGCCTGAGTGCACCTCAGACTCAGTGGTCCCCCACTTAGTGTACCTATCTGGCTGCTAATTCCACATCGTACTCACTCAAGGAGGGGGAGGGAGAAAGTTCCCAACCCAAGAACTGGGTCAGTGTCAGGTAGCCTGCATGCCAGCAAGCTGGCAGAATGAAGTCCTGAGCCTGTGATAGCTTTAGTTTTGCAGTGGCAAGATCAGAGGTGATACTGGTAAGACTGCCTAAAATCATGGCACAATCAGTGAAAGAAGAGAATGGTGTGTACTCCCAGGCTTTTTGGCAAAGATGTTACATGTGA